CAAAGCATAACATTTGTTAATCTCAGCTTGCCCATATTGACTACACATTTATTTCCAGTCACTAGCACTTTGCCAACACTGAGGTGTCTTAATAACTAAAGATAAATGCTATTATTCAAGCATATGTCTGTGAGTTGCTTAGGGAAGGAAATTATCAGTCTTTCAGAATTACTTAGCAATAAATTCATATAGTTTGCACCAGGCTCAGTAGAATCCAGGAGTCGAGGACAGACATAATCATTAGGGATGCTCATGGGGATAAAATATGCCTGGAGGAATATTGTAGGAGACCCTCACAGCAAGTGGTTTTAAGCTTTCTAGAAGAAGGGGCTTCGCAGACCCTCCATTCATTGTTTATGACCTGGAGATAGTTTATCCTTTGCTACCAACCAGTGGAAGGACAGATAAGTTTGCTCTTGAGTTCTCAGCTCCTCTTTTAACATATATCCCTGTCCTGATGTTGTTCTGCCTGGTTCATGGTCTATAATAAAGCTGTTCTGGCAGTGTAAACTGTTCCAACCTCATGAATCCTTCCAGTAATGAAACACTTAAGACAATGATTGCATAACTAACACAGGCTGCACAAAACCTTACCTCTGAATAATACAGAGAAGAGAAAGAAACAAGAACTAAGCTGCAAGTTTCCCCCCATATCCTGCTTCTTATTTTTCAAATTTCACTCCAATAAAACTAAATCTATGCATCTCACAATAGTATTACCCAGCCCCTCCATAGCTACTGAGGAATCCAGGTCCTATGCCCTATTATTGAAAGGCATTCAAGTCCAAAGGGGAAGAGGTTATGCTGCATTAGCAAGGCCCCTCACAAAGGAAAGTAAAAGCAAGTGGGCTAGACACTGGAAAAAAACACAGGATTTTAAATTTAATATACATTAAAATTTTTAAAGCCACAAGCATGCACTTAAGAAAACTCACATATTAAAATGAATCATTACAAAGCATCCATCATCCAAGTTAATGGAAAATAATATCCCTAGTACCTGAAGACACCCTGATGTTCCCTATGAAGATCCATCTCCCCTCAGATAACTACTAGTCTAACTCTTTTCACCAAAAATTAATTTTTATAGATTCTAAGAGAGTCTATTTATTGGGTTGTAGGTGCTGTTCTATTTTGTATCTGGTTACTGTCACTCAAGAGTATGTATATGGAATCATGCAAGTTGCTTTTTATGGCAGTCACTCATTCACACCAACCATAATATAATATTGTATTCCACTGTATATCACAATTTATTCATACAAAATGTTGTTGATTCACATTGGTGTTGGTTTAGTTTATAGTCTGCAGAATAATACCACTAATAACATTGGGCACATCTGTATAGTGCATACATATTTCCCTTTGCTACATACTTGAGTGAAACCCAGAGTCATGACATATGCAAATGTTTATCTTTGACAGAGATGGACACTGGTCTCCAAGGTGCTTGTGCCAGTTTACATTGCTTAAAATTTCTTTTGCTTGTTTTTGCAAACACTTGGTATGACATATTGTTTCAATTTTAGTCATTCTGATGGTTGTTTCATGATATTATATGTCAGTTTTCAATTGTATTATTCTGAGGACTAATGTTGTTGAATAACTCTTCACATGATTATTGGCCATTAAGATATCCTCCTTTAGTGAAATTCCTGTTCAGGTCTATTGCCTACATATTATTTTATCAGTGGTCTTTCTCACTGAAGTATGCTCAATTGAATTTAAGGAAGTTAGAGACTGGATCCAGATGAAGAGTTATGCTTGGCCAGGCCAGGTTTGAGATATTAAATAGATACCTATGTGTAAAGGCTAAAAGGGCAAGTGAAATGTATATATTTGTAGGATGAGGCTAGAAATAAGTTTGAAGATATATATTTAGATGCTCATAGACTGTGGATGGACTTAAAACCATTGAATTAATTAATAGCAGACTAAGGCTAACTCCTAGGGTACTACAACTCTGAAAGTCTTAGGAAAAGGAATATCAGGAGACTTGCAAAGAAGTCACTACTGTTTTAAGAGAAACAGAGGGCATAACAGGTTTAGGGTTTCCAATGAAGAGATGTATGTTTGAGAGATAAACTCTCCCAAATAGCACTGGGAGGAAGGGTAACATGAACACAATATAGCAAGATGAAAGTTGTTGGTAACCTTGGAAAAGTGCTTTATTTATTCAAGGAACAAAAGTAGAAACAAAAGTTTCATGGAGGCAGGTTGATGAGAGAATAGCATATGAGACAATTGAAGAGGATATAAGGATACTTCCATGATAATTGTCACAGATTAACCTGAAGAACAGAGAGGTACTTCGAGTCTACTGTTAAAGATACAACTTTTTTCATTACAGATGGAAGATATGATAGCATAAGTTTGTTTTGCAATTGATTCTGTTGTGAGTAAAACATTGAGGGCGCAGGAAAGATGGAATAATTACTAGAGATGAATCATTATGTAAAGTCAGGTGGATCAATTTCAATGCATCAGAGCTTCCTGTTAGCCTTTGGTTTGGGGGCATTCCTGACTAAAGGCAAGGATACCAGTTCATTCTGACTGTGGTACTGGCTCCTGCTGCTTCAATAGAAGTTGTTAGTAATATGGAGCAGTGGCACACTTACCATGCTCTGTGCAGTGCCTGAATCACATTAAAACTTCAATAAAACCCTGTGAGTTGGCTGTCATAACGATGTGCACATTGAAGCTCCAAAAATCAAGTAACTTTTAAAGCACATCTTAGCTGTTATGATACAGAGCTGTGAATCATATTTCACAATTGAAACATTTTTTTTTGCAGGGCGACCATTAAACCTGACATCTGATGCTGGGTACTTTCAAAGGTCTAATGGTTTAACTGGAACCGTAAGTGTAAACCAAGACTTTCTTGAGCAAAAACAGCATATGACAATCTTTTCTCTCCACTCTTTGATATCATTTAATATTCACTTCAAAGCACCCCACTTTATTTCAATTCTCCCATGAATATTTTATATATTTGTTTATTTATATTTTTCCCTCACCATTTATCCCCCCTATATCTTCTTCCACCTCCAACCATGCCCGTCTATCCATCTGTCACTGCACTGTTGTCTGTGTTTTTCCACAGTTACTTTTAACAACAGTAATAATCTAAAGTTAACATTAAAGAGCCCAATTAGGTTTGAGAAATTGTAATAAGCACAGGAAAATGTAAATATGCACAAAGGATTAATTTATTGAAATGACTGGCTAGGAAATAGTGATAACAAGTACAATTCCAGAAACTATTTTTAGACATACTACTTTTCATATGGTAATGGAACTTCCAACTCAAAGTGACATTCTGTTGTACTTTTTGAATTAAAATTCAGAAAATAGAGGTTAAGAGTCGAATACAATTTCAGATGAATATTATATAATACAATAAAGTAAATAAAGAAATGCATTTTCATTTTATCCATGTAGAATCACAAAAATTGTTAATTTTTTATGGAGTGATATGAACATTGGAAATATGTCACATTTCCAGTCGCAGTCAATTCTAGAGAATAGAGAACAAGTATAGAATTAGTTGTTTTCTTATATAACCATACATCTTTTCACATTTGTAATTTTAGTATGACTAACCAACTAGAAGCATTTTATTACTCTGGTACCAACTTGTGTTCCATATTGCATTGAAGAGTCTCCAAAGACCAAAGAACATGTCACTTGAAACTGTTTTAATGAAATACCTATTCTACCATAATCATTAAAAAGTTTATACCTTAAAAATCTCAAAGCTATATTCTCTACCCTATTTAATTCTCACTGTGTAAGTAATTCATTTTCTTTTGACCCATGAATTAAAAGACAATATGCAAGTTTTAAATACAATAAAAACAATTCAGTGCTATGGAGTTTAAGGTAAAAATGAGAATGCAAGTTGATTTTTTTTTGGAAGCTCACAAATGTTTGCATAAAAGTAAAAGAAACTGCTTTTAGTTTTTTTTCTAAAATTGACAATAATCAAACATAAGGACATAGGCACTTAAAAGCAAACCACAAATATGTCAATAACACTATAACATTAAAATTATTTTAAAATATATATATAATTTCAGTGAATATGCAATAGTCAACTAATCAGATACATTGATAATTAATAAATAAGTTCATGTATTGATGGAGTTTGTACTACTTGGGCACATTCAGGTCAATGAGATGTAAAAATGTATTAACTAAAAAACATAATTAGTCTAATCTTTAAACTCCCAAACCTTACCAAAAGTAGGGGCAAACAACTTTAAAATCCTCTTAAATCTTAAAAAAAAAATAAACACAGGAACAAATGCAAAAATAAACAATTCACTTTTTGGCAAAAATACTTTTAAAAATTCTGTGAGCCATGACCATTGTGACTCAGTAGATTGGGTGTCATCCCACAAAGCACAAGTTCACTGATCCACTTTCCCATCAGGACATATGCCTCAGTTGTGGGTTCAGTCCCTAGTAGGAGAATTTGTGAGAGCAATCTTTCTCACATCTGTTTCTGTCTCTCTCTTTCTCCCTCTCTTACCCTCTCTCTAAAAAATAAAAATAAAAATAAAATACTATAAAACTTCTAAGAGTAACAAAATAAGCATCTCAATCATTTGCCTTCCCATGTGGGTATAGCAAAAACAAAAAGTGAATTTAAGTATGTGAAGAATAGATGTGAAAGAGAGAAATCTTCAAAACTGTAGAAATAATAAGAATTTTTATTTCACATGCAGATTACCAAATTTAATTCTGCCTTTAGTAAGTTTCAATCTTCTTTATCTATATTCTCTACAAGTCAATTGGGTAGGATTCTCTGAAACAATATCTTTCCAATGCTCAGTATCTTCTATATAGAAAACCAGAAAAAAATGTATCTAAATCTTTGTGAGTAGTAGTAGACATTGGGATTTGGGGTACGAAATTTCCTAGGTTATATTTTTCTATAACTAGTGTTGAGAATCCCTGATGTAAATTTTGTGCATTTGGCTCCATGCATTATTCACTCATTCATTTATTCTGTATTTCTCATTCCTTCTAATATCATGCAAACACCATGAATAAGACAGCAGAGTTGGTAAATTAGGGCTTACTTGTTGCAAGCTGTAAACTGTGGCAATAGGTTGAGTCACAGGGAAGGACCCCCGGGTAGAGTCAAGCAGAGGCTCTTGGTAAAGCAGAAGGGCTTGGATGGGCATATCTCTCTGGGGGTAGGTGATCACTTGCTGGGAAAGAGGCAGAGCTTTGGGCTGAGGAAGGGAAAACAGGGGCTGAGTAGGAAGCATAGGAGTGTGAATAAGAGGCTGGGGGACCTGGTGCATCAAGGGCTGAAGCAGAGGCAGAGGAAGCTGTGGATTTTTGAGACCAGTGAGATTTGGGATTTGGCGTTGAGAAATGGGAACTCCTGGAGATTTAGAAAATGGCATCACATGGTGCTTAGAAAAGATGGTTTCCCTTTTAATCACTTCAGGTTGAAAGACAGGCAGCACCATAGCAGGCCCAGCAAGAGGCAGGATGTTTTGTGGAAGGACAGTATAAGGGATGGGCTCAGCAAAAGGATAGACAAAAGGCTGTGGCTGGACAATGGACTGGATTTTCTCCTGGTGTTCATCCTGGGGAGAAGAAGACAGAATCTTTGAGTCCATGATTCAGCTATCATTCCCATTCATGATAAATTAAACTCCTCTCTTTTGAACAACCACAATTGACTAAAAGGAAAGTAAGAAAGTCTTTTATTTATGCTGACTAAGACATTATTTGGGGACACATGAAAACTAAATTCTCGTTGAGCTATTTCTCACTAACCTACCTACTTCTTTTATTGGTGAACACAGATCAAACTGAAATCAATGTTTGGGGATTTGAGACTTGTTTCCCCAACTTTTCCAAGTTGCCTTCAGTAGCTAGGCAACTCTTGACTAGCTGTACAGTTTGGTATGGAGAGAGCATTGAATTATCAACATAATGTGATGATAATTTACCAAATTGTTTTCTTAAGGAAGATTTATTTTAAAAATAGTAGGAGAAATGACTTCAAGTTGACTTTTGTGTGTTTTAATGAAAAGTAAATCTGAATTTGTGGTTTAATTGAAGGATTTAGTCTATACCAGTTAACTTCCAGCAATACTTCCCTTGGTAGATGGTAGTTAGCATAAGTGTTTAAGAAGCATCAATTGTTACATTTATTTTGATTTAGAAAAATACTTGTAAGTTCTAAACAAACCCACTCCACTGATAGAAAAGCACACTAGAATATTACAATAGGAGAAATACGTTAGCACATGTGTAATTTACTTAAATGAAGAACTTGATGTTGTCTGAGAAGATCTTTCATTTTAAACAGGCTCTGCTACTGAAATCCTGTGTGATGTTGGCACACAATCCTGTACTCAATTGTCCTGTATCTCACTCACTGCTCTCGTCTGCGTAATGGAAAGTCTTTTAACTGCATGTATTCATAACTGTTGCTATAAAACATGCACGATTTTAATGTAAACCATTGAATATTTATTGCGTCAGCTCATCAACCCTAAAGGATTATGAATATTTTCAGGTTTCAGGTGAAGCAATTGAAGAACAGAGAAACTTTGAGCCAAGTTTATATATACAGAGCTAATCAATGATCAAATGAAGATTTGTGTCATGTTGCTTTCTTCTTTCTTTCATTAGCCTGTCTATTTTGAGAATCGGGGAAATCTAGTTCCCATCCTGGAAATATATATACTCATGTGTGTTTATGCTAGCAAAGTTAGAAAATTAATCATTATTCTTAACCATTTACTCTATTTTCTGCAAAAAGAAAAGAGATTTATGTCTTAAAATATATTGAAAAAGTTTCATTTCTTTCACTGACATTTTTTATTACAGTTCTTTAGAGTAACCATGAACAACTTTTGAATATTTAAAAAAGGAAAGTGTTTTATCATATTTTACAAAAATTTTAGAAATGTTAGGAACAAATTACCTGTCTTGGCTGCTCTTTGTCATTTTCAAGCTTCTCGGGTTTCTGCTAGAAAACAAACCGCATGAAAAAAAAGGTATGATCTATAAAAACTGAATGTAGGAAATTATGAAAATAGGTACAATTGAAATACCAGGATTTAACCCCCTAATGTGGGATATCAAACTGAAACTTACAGACCACATCAGTATAGTGGTTCCCAGAGGGCAGGGGGCTGGTGGGATAGTAGAAAGTGAAGGGGGCCACGTATATGGTGGAGGAAGAGAATTTGAATTTGGGTGGTGGGCACACAATGCAATGTACAGGTCATGTGTCATAGAATTGTACACTTGAAACCTAAGTGATCTTATTAACCAATATTACCTCAATAAAATTACAGTAAATAAATAAATACATAGGTTTACCTCGTTAATGTGCGCAATGGATTCCTTCAGAAAAATGAAAATAAAGTTAGGTTATGTTTTCACAGAATTTTTATCTGTCCATATAAATCAGAAAATAAGGCATTTAATAGGTTAATGTGGACACCTTGCTTGATATCATCATTAAAAATTCAAGTAGAACTTATTCTTAGTAAAACTTATATGTTGCCCTCTTCTACATAAGAGAGTTGTATTAAAGTCAGATAAATGCAGTAAAAAAACATTGATTGTTGGTTTGCAAACCAATGTCACCACAATAAATTCAATTAAAAAGTTAAAGTTTTTAAAAATAAAAAGAAAATTAGTAAACATAGTACAATAAGAGGCATTTAATAGGTGCTGTTTTGCTCCCTCACTACGTTCTCTCCCTGTGAAACAATAAATGATCTCTAATGTACCATCTCATTCCATAAGAATGTAACTCATTGATCACCAGTTATAATAACCCTTGATACATTCTGTGAATCATTCTTAGGTTATTTGTTATGGTTACACTTCAAATGAATTTTAAGAACTGAATACTTTCCCCGAGAATCTGATAATATTTATAGTAAAGTTTACCCATGTACCCTTTAGCAGGTGTTGACAGAGCCCCAAAGCAGTGCAAGTGTGAATAACCACCTGCCTCTCACAGGCAGATGTGAGACTGAAACCAAGTCGCACTGCCTCTTACTCACTAAAGTGACTACTGAAATTACAAAAACGTCCATTTGCATGTCTGCCCACCTAGTGTAGAGCCATTCTTTCCCATGGGCAGCCTCCTTTCAGTTTGAACCTTGGCTCCTAGTCAATGTCTGATCCACAGAAGGCGACCAATAAATGTCAAATCAGTGAATGAGGTCACCATGGAGAGAGCTCAAGACAGATAAAAGGACTGCACAGTACATGTAAGGAAGGGGGTGGGACACAGTGACACAATTTCAATTAGCAAGCCAGCACAGAAAATACTTGAATACTGAATTCTGCTGACATTTATTTTGCCCTTCAACATATACAATGTAAATTTACATCAGAACTTATGTATCAGAACTAGCACATTGACTAAATGTGCTCAGTAACACAATATAAAGAGTCTACAGCATTTTACTGTCCCCAAACTGGGGATTGCCTCAGAAAGAACATTGTCTTACCTCTGTGTTTGAAAGGCTTTCTACAGTCTATAAAGAAAAAAAGTAAAATCAATAACTGGATCACCAAAGAATGTTACTATTTTATGGTGAATTTTTTCTCTGAATAAACAATATCTTACCACACTGGATACACTCAGTTCTTCCTTGTGGGGGGAAAAAAGAGAAACACCATTTACTTTCCGTAACTAGTTAATTTTTCCTAATTACTTTTCACCTTTGTTACTCAGAGCTACCTCCTTCCCAAATTTAAGAAATAAAAATGTTGTATGTCTTCTGAGAGCCTTGGAAGGTAATTGTGTTTTATGTCTTTTATATTTGATTACTCTAAATGGCATGTTTTTATTCTACCTGAAGGAAGAACATATTGGATGGGTAACACAGAGGGAGTTATTTTAATATGCATCAAACACTTTTTATTATGATTAGGCATATGTTTTTAACTATGATTATTGCCTGATACTTCACCCTCTGGGTGTCTTTGGACAGACACAGGTAGGATTTGGCCCAGTGCCCCAGGGAAAGAGGTGCATGAGTTTCATCACTGGATATGGTATCTTTATCTAGGTTGGACATGCATGCCATTGTTCTTGTGCAGTATTACTCTTTTTAATGTTTGTTTCTTCTTGTTTTGTTTCTTGATTATTTGCTGGTTTGTTTTTATTTCAGGGACTGGTGAAATTTAACTCAGGTTTGTGGCCCTAGAGGACACAGTTAAAATAGTGAGTGTACCCCTGCCAGGTGTAGCTCAGTGGACTGAATGCAGGCCTGGGAACCAGATTGTGGTTCAATTGCCAGTCAGGGCACCTGCCTTGGCTGCAGGCCAGTTCCCAGTGGGGGACACATGAGAGGCAACCATACATTGATATTTCTCTTTCTCTCTCGTTCCCTTCTCCTCTAAAGATAAATAAATAAAATCTTTAAAATTATAGTGAGTCTGTGTACATGATTTTCTTTAAAGAATTTTTATAAATTCTGCTGAAATTCTGCTTTGTTTGTACACTTATGAAATTGATGGTGTTGTTCTCTACACATGGGAAGACATTTCACTTCATGTTAATTATCTAGAGATTTTCTTACCTCTGTTGCAAGGGCAAGGGCCGCCAGGCAGGCGAGGATGAGGACCTTCATGGCGCTCAAGGTCTGTGGGAGGGGAAAAAAGTGCTGTTGTCAGTGTGATGTGTTCTCTTAATTACGTAGGCTTAGCTCTCTTTAAAAAAAAACAAAGTGACTGTATTTTAGAAAAATTACTAATGGAAGTTTTATTATACAACCAAAGTCAAAACCTTCTATGACTCCTTAGGCTTACTTACCAACTTTATACTTCAATGGAAGCCATTCAGAGTTTTCAGCTCTCACCTCCATCCCACCTCACTCTTTTTTAAAAAATCTCATTTAGAGTACTATGTGTATTTTGGAAAGACAGAAAAATATTGTACATACATAAGGCTTTATTTATTGATTCATTTCATCAAATTGAGTAATGTTTATTCAGCACTCTGAATTGCCCAAAGCTGTCTGGGGTCTGCGTTTAAAGCAGTGAACAAAATATTAAGGTTTCAGCCCTGGTGAATCCTCATATCCATTGGGAACAGGCTGACTGAAAAATGTATGCACATAGAAGATCATAGTTTATTTTACCTTTTCTTCATTAAATGAAAGAATTTTATGAATATTTGACTTAATCATATTTCTTTATGTCTAATAAGACTGAGATTTTTATTGGAGCATTTCACTTGCTCCACTTATCCAAATGTTTTTATAGGACTGATACATCTGTTTATTGTCTACATCCCCACACACCTAATGACATCTCTTTTTCTTTGTGCCATATAACTTTAGACATCATACAGCACACTTCTGTTTTCTCTTATTTCTTGATGATTTACCAAAGGATCAGGTTCTCTTTCCAAGTCCCCAAGGCAGACTACTTATTATTGTAGTATAATATATAATATATGTTAACACTTTTGAACTAAATGTACTAAAGTCTTCATTTTCTTCCATCTCTAAAATTTCTAGTAAAAAATAGGTTTGTGTGCCCGTTATACTTCAACATACAATCCACAATCTTAGATTTATAAATTAAATTTCTGGTACAAATATTTCATGAAAAAGATCTTAATTCATGTGAAAAATATATCTTCCAATATTTAAGGCTGAAATATTTCTATTTACTAGGAAAATATATTTTCTAAATTTTTCTCTTGGATATTATATAATTCTTACTGATTTTATTTTACTCAAGACCTCTAATATTTTACTGTATTAGAGATCATTACGGGTCTGGAAGATTTCATTGCATTTTCTACATCTTAGCATTTTATATACCAATTTTTAGACAAACATTATTATTAAAATATAGAGTCTAATGCACTCTTTCTTCAAAACCTTTTTGTTTTTCTTTTCAAGTTATTTCTACCTCTCTAGAATTTATCATACAACGTAAAACTTTGTTTATTCTTACCTGAATTCTCTTTTTCCTGTCTATCTTAATAATTTTAAATCTCTTAAACAATAATGTGGAATGCTACATGTTGTAAACTAGAAGCATTCAATGAATGCTTCTTCTAAAAATATTATTTATAGGCTTTTCAAGTAGTGCATGTTTCTAAAGAACTCCCATATCTTCATTCAACATGCTACCTTTATGTACTCTGTTGAATAAAGCTTTCACAAGAATTTTCTTAAAATATCCTACATATATTTGGTTTGATGACATTAATATGCTTAATCAAATTGGAAGACATATAATTCAGAAATTAAGTCTTTTTCTATAGCCTGTTAGCTACCTTAAACTAAAAAATATATAGCCACATTTTGAAAATATTACTACATTTTTTGTACTCATAAAGCTTATTCAGCCTTGTAATTTTCACCAAATCTTCACGGATACTTCTACTTTTTTTAACCTAATTGTTGAGAATAAGTTCAGTACTATTTTAAGTACCTTTATTTCAAAGATTATATTTTAAAAATTATTTTCTTCATATATCTCAACCTATCTGAAATAAAGCTACAAAGAAAAAACTTCAAATGTATATGGGAAATTCTTACCTTTTTTCCAAGGTGGAGAACAAAAGGTGAAGGAGGACCTAAGTGAATGATGGTGTGTCTGCTTTTGTGGCTGTTTATATACTGTATTCCATGGCATGTTAATTATGTGGTTTGAAATAAAATCAACAGTGGGTTTCAATTCCAAGAAGTCTGCATTAATAGAAAATGATTTCTGCCCAATGTCTGTCCTCAGAAATGCTAGGAAATATTTTAACAAGGGAGCAATTCACATCTGGCGAAGGAAATATGTCCAGGAAATGCAATTGTCCAGTAACTGAAGACAATCACTGGAGGACAGTGACTCTCTGGCTCAGTCCCCAAGTTCAGATTTAAATTAGGTCTCCAGCACTTGGGGGGTCCTCAAGAGCTCACTTGTGGGGGATGCTATGTGAGCACTGGACATGCGCAAGAACTTACAAAGGCCACAGCTGCACACTAACCTGAGCAGCTTCAGTGTTTCATGATGCCATGGAGAAAAATGACAAGATAACAAGTCCATGGTGGTCGGTTAGTCATGTGAGTCCAACTGCAAAGCTTCACAGCCACTTGATTTAGGCACAATAAATAGTTAACTTAAAACTAATATCTTTTACTCAAGAGGATTAGGCCTTTCTATGGGATGAAACATCTCACAAAAGGGATTTGGATGGCTCATATGAGCAAAATCTTTTGTAAATCTCTTATAAATCTTTGGTAAAATTTCATGGAGGCTTATTTTTCTGGTAAATATCAGTTAACTTTTTATGATCAATCACAATAATTAGAATAGTTTTACTTTTTTACTTAGCACCAGCCCTATGCCTGGCATTTTGTCCTTTACAGACTTATCTTGTATGACTATAACAAAAACTTCAAGAGAGCTTTCCTCTCTATATTTTCCACAAAGAAACTGAAATACTACTAAATTAAGCAACTGACAAAATCCATATTTTTGTTACTGGCAAAGAGGTCATATTTAAAGCCATATCTGAGTACATGTGTTTCTATTTGATTATATGCAATGACTATGTATTGACTCCATGAGTTGTTGTTATAAAATTTATCTATCAATGTAGCATTTGGGCTTCAACATGCACCATTTGTTATGACTGCATTGGAGGAATGGGCACATATGCTGAGTGTGAGCAGGGTTGCTTGTCTTTAAGGAGCTTGTATTCTAGTTGGAATTTACAAGAATGAGGACAATTTTAAGACAGAATCAAATGTAAATAGATTATTTTGGCTGAAGGAATTATGGATGTTTGTACAGCAATACACCATGTTTGTTGGATTCTGTATTTTAGGAAACATAGAGGATACAGAGTTTGTAAGTGACAGGGTTTTGATGAAGTCAAACCATGGCTGCTTTTGAATTTCAGGCATTCATTGTGATGTAATTCAGTAAGAATATGAAAAATATGAGAGATTTAAAAGAAAAATGGATGGTAAAATTTTCTGGAATATATGTCTTTATGTCACTATCTGAGGCAGCCTAGAAAGATAGGTTGTTATAATAAACATTATGATGACCTCAGTCACAGAAATGATGCTGGGCATGTTAGGCAATGGAAAGCAGACTGACATTAAAATAAGACAGATCTGAGAAGTCAGGGAAATGAATCATAGACTACGCCAGGGTGATTGAAAAGTTATCCACGTTATAAACCAATTTGAAAACACAGCTGAAATTAGAAAGGAGATACTCATTTAAATCTTCTACATGGTAAGTTTGAATGTGTCTAAGATGTGATGTGAATTAAATATGATTGATGTGCAATGAAGTCATATGTACAAATGCAGAAATGAACTTCTATTTCCTGACAAAAAATAAATGAACCATCTTCAGGGAAAGAAAGTGGCAAGTCAAAAGACAAATTGCCTAAGAATAGAACTCAAGTCTGCCCTATTTTCAGAAATAGGAAATAATAGAGAGTTCTGAGGAAAAGGAAGTATAGAGGGTCATTGGAGCCATGGAAAGAAAGAGCTGGTAAAAAAAAAAGTCAAGGCCAGAGTGAAAATGCTACACAGATATGGAATAAGGTGGAAACAGAGAAGAGATTTCTGGACATATAGGGTCAGTATCATTTTAACCATTGTGATACACTCAAAGTGATTAAAAGTATTTCTGAGGAATTAAAAGCAACTCTACTCTTGAGAGATTTTAGAAGTAGAACTAAGGGCACCTATCAAATAGCATCTATGCTTATAGGAACAGAATCATACAAAGTTAATTTTAGGACACAAATTTTTAGCTTAAAAGAAAGAGGCCAAGGGTGAGAAAAGGCTGAAACACACCAAAGAGGTAAGGATTAAATTGAAAAAGCAAGATGCAATAGGATCAGAGTTACAAATAAAAGAAATAGACCTACATAGAGTGTACCAGTTTCTCTGAAAAATAAAGAAAAGTATTAAAAGATTAGTAAATATAACACATACTTAGAAATATAGGTTAAAAATTGGAAAAAATGATCCTACTTTTTCAGTTAGGTGCAGGATGGAGTTTTCAACTGACAGTGAGGGAGGTGAATGTGGCTTTTGGGTATTTGAAAGAGAAAATATTTTTGATTAATGTGAAAATAAAAATAAATAAGACTACTCACAGCATTAATACCTAGATGAGAGTAGAAATCACATTGTTTTCTTTACCTCAGTGAATTTATTTTGAGATAGTTGTAGTATAATATCAATAGATGAAGGGAATTGTTGGAGTGGTGACAGGGAATAGTATGTGTTTGTGGGAAATGACTAATCACAAAGTGCTGGCTGCTCCAGGGAGGAGAAGGTGGCAGCAGTTGAGTAATAAACCAGTACCCTCAAAAGGACTTGAATGACTACAGGAAGGAAAGAAGGCAAAAACCAGGATTAAGGAGAGTGAGAAATTCAATGAATTACAGATTAGAGCTTTTTATGGCATGGAAATTACAGAATCAGAAAGAAAAGACTTCCTGGGTGATGGCCAGATACAATGAATGGTCATACATGCAGTACCGTATATTGAACAGGTGAACATGAAGGTTATAGGAGGCAATAGTAAAATATATTTCATATTAAATGTCTATGCTTGCCAGGATGTCGCTAGTTGTCAATCATGCAAC